GGTGACAACACCCAGGTACTGGAAAGCATGGTATGTTCTGGGGGACAATGGAGACCCTATGCAGAGAACTAGGGAGTTCTAGTGGCCTAGTGGTAAGGAGTTGTATTGCCATCCTAAAGGCATGTGGCGCGAATCCACCCATATTCCTTGGGAGAACTATGGGCAATCTCCTCCCGTGTGATTAAAATTCATCTGAAAACCTACTGGAGGGTCAGCTGTGAGTTGGTTCTGACTCAACAGTGCATAACATGCAGAGAAATCTTCCAGATTTGTGGACTAGTCTTGTCCGGGTGTTCTTTCTGGTGATAATAAATGAGTACGTACGTGCTCCTTGAAGGCAAAAATTATAAAGCTTTATCTCACATACTTTGGGCATGTTCCTAGGAAAATATATTCCTCAGAGAACGACATCATCCTTGAAAAGGTGGAGGGACAGCAAAGGAGAGGAAGACCCTCCACCAGGTGGTTTAACACCATGACTGCAGCAACGGACTTGAGTATTTCAAAGATCATGAGAATGGCATAGGATACGACCGGGCTCAGATCTGTTATTCTTAGGGCCACTGTAAGTTGTACTTGAATCAAAGGCTGCACTGCAATCCCAAAGGCATGCAGTTCAAATCCACCAGCTACTCCATGGGAGAAGGATGGACAGTCTCCTTCATGTGGAACTCTGCTAAAGGCTCAGTCAACAGCACACAACAACAATGTATAAATAATAGTTTTATCATTTTCCCATTTCATCAATTTTATGTATTGTGACTGAGAATAAAGGAATTCACAGGTATTGAAAGTGCTCTAGTGGCATAGACCTTGGGGAGCTGAGTCACTAACCCAAAGGCCAGGTCTCTCTCCATGGACCAAATCCACCCACTGCTTCATGGGAGAAAGTTGGACAGTCTCCTTCCAAGCGATTTACAGCTTCTGAAAATCTGCAGGAAGGTCAGCTATGAGTCGGTACAGTCAAAAACAATGACAGTTTGAGAGAGACTTGGCTTTATGTCAGGGTAGGTCAGTCACAAGACGGCTGCAGAGTAAAATCCTGAGGAACAGCTTCGGGTGCCTGGTGGACAGAGAAATGCTGCTCAGACAGTTGATAAAGGACAGAGGAGTCCTCCTAGCTTGTGGCCTTGCCTCAAAGGGCTAGAGGGAGGGGCAGGCTGGCCAGAAGGTTGTACAGGTTCTCTAGCCTCTCCCTGGTGCCCTGTGACCTGGCCTCTGTGGCCGGGAACGTTTGGACCTAGCCCTGGTGGCACATTCCAAAGCAAGTGCTGCTAAGCCGAAGACCTTGGCTCTGAGGGAGAAAGGTGGACAATCTCCTCCCACTGCGATGTCTAGCCTCGGAAGGCGTCAGGCTGCTGAGTTGGAAGTGACTGACTCTACAGCACTGAGCTTTCTGTGTTTGGGTGGTTATTAGAGTGAGAGAGGCGAAGCCATCGAAGTTTCTGGTGATGAAGGACCGAGATGTCAGGTGATGTGATGCCTGGGTCTCATTCACAGTGGGACTTAGATTTATACTGATCCTTGCCACACGGTTAGTGATAAAGGTGTCGTCTGTCCACCCTGCCCCTTTAGTGGGGTCAGTCGTTAGGGACAGCAGTGCTGCACCTGACACCTGCCTGATTATTCACTGCAGAGTCTCCACACCTCTGAGCGTCTGGCACACAGTATGAGTTCAGTACGTGTAAGACTCTAAAATCGGAATCGGTAAGTTTTAGATGAACAAGTGAATGCTGTTAGGTGCTGCACTGTTGTACAGTAGCCCCACGTACACTGGAACTAAATAAACCTGACCTGGTCCTGTGCCAGCCTTGGGGATGTTGCTGTGTTTGAACTCGCTGCCGCAGTCACTGTGTCAATCCAACATATTGACGAAATGACCCACCTACATCTGCTGTCATGGAGTCAATGCCGACTCATGGTTTCAGTGGCCACCAAGCTTTACAGGCGAGGACTTCCCGTCTTCTTCCTTAGCGTGGATGGATGATTCCAACTGCCAAACCTTTGGTTAGCAGCTCAACACATAACCAGGGCTTATGAAGAAATGTTATTGCTGTTATGTGTTATCGAGTCATTTGTGACTCATAGCACTTTTATGTACAACAGCTCTGAACCCTGCTCTATCCCGAGCCAACCTTATTGTCTCTGACACACCTACCCCTATTCTCCTAGTCACTTAGTCAATCCATCTCATTCTGGGTCTTCCTCTCTTGCACTGTCCCTCCACCCTTCCAAGTATGATGTCCCTCTCCAAGGACTGGTCCCTCCTTGAAACGTGTCCAAAGTATGTCAGATGAACTTCAGAATCTTTGCCTCCAAAAAGCAGCCTGCTTTCACCCTCTCCAGGATGAACCTGTTTGTTCTCCTAGTGGTCCATGGTATATTCAATATTCTCCAGCACCACAGCTCAAAGGTATCAATCCTTAGTCATTGTCCAGTTCTCTGATGCATAGCACATAATTGTGACGACCATGGCCTGGATCAGGCACACCTTACTCTCCAGTCTGACATTGCTGTTCTTCAGTAATCAGGAGAGGTTCCTGACAGCAGACTTTCCCAATGTAATTTGTCTTTTGATTTCCTGGCTGTTGGTACCAAGACTGTTAATTGTGGAGCCAAGAAAACTAAAGCTGTTAACAATCTCATTCTCTTCGCTGTCTATCATGATGCTGCCAGTAGGTCCAGTAGTTGAGCTTCAATCATATTGAAGGCTGCAGCCCTTGACCTTCTTCAGCAAGTGCTTCAGGTCCTCCTCAGTTTCAGCAAACAGGATTGCGTCATCTGCATAATGCAGATTGTTGGTGGGTCTTCCTCCAATTTTGATGCTATATGTTAGGTGCAATGCCAACTCAGTGATCCTGTGTACAAAAAACAATGAAGCACTACCCTACACTGTGCCATCCTTGGGATCCCTGCTACTTTCGAGCCCGTTGTTGCACCTGCTGTGTCCTTCCAGCACTTTACCAGACAGTGTTCCATCAACAGCCCGTTCTTTCAGAAGTGGAAGCCCAGCTGCGCTTCCTAGTCTGTCTCAGTGAGGAAGCACCACTGATGCTGTCCACGCTGGTGACCCTGTTGGTATTTAAAACGCCAGTGGCAGCTTCCAGCATGACAATACACAAACTACCACAGAGCAGCACACTTGCAGATGAAGAAATACTGTCATGCATCGTTGAGTCAAAACCAACCCATAGTTGACCCTCCACTGGGTTTTCAGAGGCAGTAAATCACAAAGCAGAGGACAGCCCATCTTTCTCCTATGGAGCAACTGGTGGATTTGAACTATATGCCTTTGGGTTAGTAGCATAGCTCCTTAACACTAGGCCACCAGAGCTCCCTAGATGAAGAAATGGATAGCCTGGAATTTGACTTGATCTAGAGGTGATGGGAACCAAGGAAGAGTCTTAAATGGAGTAAGGACAGGATGAAAAAAACAGAAGGCTTTTTTTTCCAACTCAGTTCATTGCTGTGAGTTGGCATGGACTCATAGCTGCCCCTTCAGCAGGTTTTCTGAGGCTGCAAATCACAAGGGAGGAGACTGTCCATCTTTCTCCCTTGGAGCTTCTGATGGATTCAAACCCCCAGATAGACGCCAGCTTTGGGTTACCAGTACAATACCTTAAGGACTACACCACTAGAGCTCCCTGAAGGTTTTCTTGGCATTTGAGCTCTAGAGACATAGTGCATAATGATATTGTTTTGCTAATGGAAAGTTTAGCAGTTCAAATCCACTGGCTGCTGTATGGGAGAGACAGGCTATCTCTCCCAAGAAAGGTTTACAGCCTCCATAACGTGATGAAGGGTTACCATGAGCCAGGCTTGAGTCCATGGCAGAGTGGGGTTTCGTAGCCTAGTAGCCAGGGGTAAGTCAGGGTGAGGGTCTTGCCACCCAAATGGGGAGAGGATAGCTCTGGAGCCACTCAGGTCAAAGAGGAAAAACTAAGTGACCTTTTTGTGGCCAGAGGAGGGAAGAACAGGTTTCTTGGAGCTGCCCCTAGGTGAGCTCAGGACTCTTCTGTGAGTAGGATTCACCAGCTGCTTTAAGACACCCTCTCCCCACTCCCGGTGCCCCCGAAGTGGTGCCGCCCTTGGCACGGAGCAGATACACAGCCATTGCAAACACATGTTCTCTCCTCATTTTAATGGTGGTTAGTGGAATTGCCAAATCCCCTCCCCGTCCCCCTCCCACCCAGTATAAAACGTGGGGTTTTTTGTGTTCGTTTTTAACAAGAAAAGGGTGGGGGGAAGCCAGGAATGGGAGGGGAGGGCTCAATCTGATATTTTCATACAGACTTTCGACTTTTTTTTTTTAATATATTATATATAAAACCATAGAGACCAGTGAGCCTCCCCAACTCCTTTCCCCCTCCCTGGGGGGCCTGGAGGAGAGATAGGGAAGGCCCCCCAGGAGTGGGTAGACAGAGAGACAAATATGGGTGGGGCGGATGTGGGTGGAGGAGGTGGATGACTGGGGAGCCTGGGACCAGGGGAAGAGGGATTGGAGAAAAGGGTGGGGCCTGTCTCCCTCACCGCCCCCCATCAAGGTTATGACACAAAGACACACAATCCCTGTTTCCACGCCCTCCCCCCACCCATCCCCCCACCGTGCAAACATGGCTTTGCAAAGAGGTGCCCAGAGCTCTGTGGAACTCTTACAATGGCTGGCATGGGGTCTGAGACCCCCAAAGAAATCTGTGTTCCCCTTCCCTGCCCGCCCCGCCCTTCCCAGAATCTGACGCCCTCCCCACAAGACCTGGATCTGCAGACTAGGGGCCCTGGCTCTCCCCCAGCTTTCTTCCCCCAACCCCATCCCTATTGCCCTCCCTGGACTTAGGAGGGGGGGTGTCTGGGCCTTTGGCCCCTGCCCCTGGGGGGGACCCAGACCTCTGGGCTCTCTCTTCTGGCCCTGGCAGAGCCCCAAGCATCCGACACCCCCATCCCTGCCCAAGCGTCTGAGGTGTTAGTGGTGGGGGGAGATGCCCACCATCCCAGACTCTGGCAAATGTCTTTGCTGGTTCCTTGCAGCTGGCAGTGCGGGGGACCTGAGGCCAGGCCCAGGCCCGGAGTGGAGGTGGAGTCAGATGAAGAATTCCTCTTTTCTCTTGTGCCCATCGCTGCCATTGAGGAAGGCTTCTCTTGCTTCTCCCTGCTCATCCAAGCCACTGGCTTCGTGGGTCAGATAGGAGCCTGGGACCGGGCGGAAGCAACATACAGGAAGACCAGAAGTTGGCCAGGAATGTGTAGGGAGAGGCAGACAGACCCGCATGAGGTCAGATGAAGAACAGGGAGAAACATTGGACACAGCAACACAGTAGCAGAGAAAGAAGTAAAAGCTGAATTAGGAAGGTCCCAAAATTTTAGGAAAATATCAACCCTATGCCTTCTTTAGGTAATTTCCCCTTACTTTGCTCCTAGCGAAAAGGCATACTTGGTTTTTATCAAGCTCATGCCCTTAATTCAGATTCTTTCTTGGGCCAAAAGCCCCTCCCCTTCGGAGATCTTGGCTCCTTGTTGGGTTTTTTGGCTTCTTTACATCAAGAAGCCGGACCCCGCCCCCTCCGAGTCGCATACCCAACCACACTCCTCGCTGCACCAGGCCCCGCCCCCTCTCGGTCCCATAACCACCTACACTCACCGCATCCAGGCCCCGCCCCCTCTGAGTCCCACAGCCACACTCCTCACCACATCCAGGCCCCGCCCCCCACACTCCTCGCTGCATCCAGGCTCCGCCCCGACTCACCCTTTTGCCGCACTGAGCACCAGACCATGCCCACCAGTACACATATGATCAGAAAGACCAGCAGCGCCAGGATGCCGCCCACGATGGCGTAGGGCACCGACGTCTGAGCCTCTACCACCGCACCAGGGTCTGCCAGAGGGTCAAGGCACGGGACCGGGTCATCAGAGCTGCCAAAATCAACCATTCTGCACACCACCCCTAAGGCACGCCTCTCAAAATAGACTGCCTCTTAGTTCAAGGATGCTTAATTTTATAAAACATAATGAATGGGAATGATTGTATGAAACACACTGTGAATGAAGGGTGGTGTTGTTTTATGTGCCGTCGAGTCGCTTGCTACTCATACTGACCCTATGTACAACAGCGCTAAACTCTGCTCTGCTCTGTGCCAATCACACTGTCTCCGATACGCCCATCCCGATTACCCCAGTCACTGAATCAATCCACCTCATAGAGGGCCTTCCCCTCCTGCTCCTGCCCTCCACCCTCCCAAGCATGATGTTACTCTCCAAGGACCAGTACCTCCTTACATGTCCATAGGATGTCAGAAGAAGAAGCCTCAGAATCCTTGCCTCCAAGAAGCCGCCTGTTTGTTTTCCTAGCAGTGCTTGGTACCCTCAATACTCTTCTCCAGCACCACAGCTGAAAGGCACCAATTCTCCTTCTATCCTTCTTAGTCACTGCCTAACTCTCTGATGCATAACAAGTGATAGCAAAGACCATAGCCTGTATCAGATGCACCTTAGTCCCCAGAGAAACACCACTGCTCTTCAGTACTTTGGAGAGGTCCCTAACAGCAGACTTTCCCATCACAATACGTCTTTTTAATTTCCTGGCTACTGGTGCCAGGAGTGTTGACTGTGGAGCCAAGCAAACTAAAGCTGTGAACAATCTCAATTTCTTCACCATCCATCCTGATGCTGCCAATTGGTCCAGTGGTGAGAATCTTTGTCTTCTTGATATTGAGCCTCAATCTATATTGGAAGCTGTAGTCCTTGACCCTCTGCAGCAAGCACTTCAGGTCCTCCTCAGTTTCAGCAAGCAGGGTTGTATCATCTGCATAACGCAGATTGTTAATAGATCTTCCACCAATCTTGACCCCACATTTCTCCTCATAGAGCCCAGCCTCCCTGATGATCTGTTCTGCATATAGGTTGAAAAGGTATGGAGATCGGACACATCCCTGGTGTACGCCCTTCCCAATTTTGAACCATGCAGTGTTTCCTTGCTCTGTTCTGACGACTGCCTCTTAGGTTTCTCATTAGCACGATCAAGTGTTCTGGTATTCCCATTCTTCTCAGAGTCAGCCACAATTTGTTATGATCCACACAGTCAAACACCTTTGCATAGTCAGTCAATGAAACACAGATAGACATTCCTCTGGTATTCCCTGCTTTCAGCTAAGATCCATCTAACATTAGCTATAATATCCCTAGTACCACGGCCCCTTCTAAACCCAGCCTGGACTTCTGGCAGTTCTCTGCTGATGTGCTGTTCCAGTCGTTTTTTGATAATCTTCAGTAGAATCTTGCTTGCATGTGAAATCAATGACACTGTTCTATAGTTTCCACACTCTGTTGGGTCACCCTTCTTTGGGATGGGAACAAATGAAGGATAGTGTGAAAAGTAATGTATCTGAACTTTGTAAGCAAACCAATATAAAATAATTAAACAAACAAACAAACAACAAACCCTTATGGAGAAGAGCTCTAAAAAAAACCAAAACCAAAATAAAAAACAAAAAAAAAAGGACTGTCATTTTGTGGCGCCACCACCTGTTAGGTGAATCAATTTGACTGTGACTCCTATTGACCCTATGAACAGATCTGAACCTTGCTCTATACTGCAGCTTTCTTACATCCATCACATTGTGGTAATCACCATGTCAATTTATCTCCTTGGGGGTCTCACAAAGTCCACCTCATGGCTTCCCTTTTTTTCAGATGTCTCATTTCCTCAAAGAATGAATCCACATTGGTTTGTACTAGATTCTACCCCTTGGCTTTTTAGCTAATACTTTTTAGCTGTCTCTTCCTCTGCCCCACCCTTTCTCCAGGACAGAAACTTCACACATCCCTTATTGTATTTCTTCCTCCCTGGATCCTCAAGGGCAATCTGCTTTCCATTTTACCGACCATGCTCTCTGCTCTGTGTCTTTAAAGTGCTGGGCCAAGGGCCAACCACTTCCAAAATTCCTTCCCTACTATATTGTTAATTTCAAGGAGTCTCAACCCTTATCGATCCCATGAACAACAGAATGGAAAACAGTGCCTAGGCCTCCAGTTGTCGCCCTGTTTGAGCTCACTGTTGGAGCCGCTGAGTCAAGCCATCTTGTTGAGGCTCTCTTACACCGATCCTCTTCTCCAGGGATAGCGTGTCCAACGCAGGGAAGACAAAGTCACGCCACCTTCGCTACCGAGCAGCATTCTGACTACCTTTCTTCTGAGACAGATTTGTTCATTCTTCTGGAAGCCAATGGCCTAGTCCATATTCTTCACCAAAACAAGTCAAAGACATCAAGTGTTCCATTCTCCTTGTTTGTTGTCCAGCTCTCACAACAAAATTCAAACTCACTGCCAAGGAGTTGGAATCAAACCTCATAGCTGGCCCTCCAGGTTTTCGGGGGTTTATTATGCACTGGAGTAGAATGACCTCAGAGCAGCTGATGGTTTGAACCACTGTCTTTGGTTGGCAGTGCAACTGCTTATGCATTAGGTCACCAGAATTTCCATGTATGTATGTTGTTGTTGTTATGTGCCGTCGAGTCGTTTGCGACTCATAGCGACCCTTTGCACAACAGCCCTAAACCCTGCTCTATGCTGCGCCAACCGCACCACCTCTGACACACCCATCCTGATTACCCCAGTCACTGAATCAATCCATCTCATAGAGGGTCTTCCCCTCCT